CCTGGAAAGAGGCAACAGATCTCTCCGTGAATAACCATGAATGTGGGTGTTGCAGGTTTGGGGTAAATCATTAACATATGATTGATTAAGGACCTACTTTTCAATGTGCTTTCCACCATTGTTTTCTGAACTACATGAGTTCCTTGAGTGGAAATCATAGGATATTATATTGATGAAAGCTAACTACATACATGTAGGTATTTTTTACAGGGTATGAAGTATAATTTAGCATTAAAAATCAGTGTTGAAGTAAATTGGTACAGAAACAAGAAGATAAAAATTGCAGTGGTATGTGCATACCACAGAAGTGATTAATAAAATACTTACTCTCTCAAACAAGAAAAGTAAGTTTCAACATTGCACTTATCAGCTGATCAATCTTAAATTGCTGGGGCCTACAAAAGAAATCATTATTAATATCAGAAGATCTTACTGTAGGACAAACAAACAGTAGTTCTGCTTTATCACAGAATTTTCTTCTAGGGTTTCTAGGTGGACTGTGGGAAATTTCCTTCTTTGCTTCTTACATCACCCTCAATTAGCATCCTACTTATAAGGCTATTTCTAGCAATGTCAGTCATCAGTAGGTAAGTAGGGAATGGAATGAATGTCATGACAGCTCTTGATAATCTTACATTCTCGGAATGGAGATTAAATATGTTTGGATTACTACAGTTTGGTCCATATCAAACTCAATTTGACTTTCAATTCTGTTCAGGCATGGAGACTGAGGATCCCAGGCAAATGTAGTCCCTCTGTTCTTGTCATGGTTTAAGCGCAAGTACCATGCAGTGACTTGTTCACTCCCCACCATCCCAGTGGGATGTGGGCTTGAATATAAAAAAAGGTAAAAACCTGTGGGTTGAGATAAGAACAGTTTAATAACTAAAATAAAAGCAAAATATTATAATACATATTACACAACAAATATTTGTTATAATACAACAAAATATTATAACACAATAACAATAACAATAGGCACTAAAGAGAGAAAGAGGAAGAAATGCCCCTCGCCCCCCCCCCCCCCCCCCAAACAAACAACAAGTGATGCTCACCGCTCACTGACCAATGCTCAGCTTGTCCCTGAGCAGTGATGGGCTCCTTCCAGCCAGCTCTCCTAGTTTATATACTGGGCATCGCGTGCAGTGGTATCAGTACCCCTTTGGCTAGTTTGGGTCAGGTGTCCTGTCTCTCCTTCCTCCCACAGACAGAGCACGAGAGACTGAAAAGTCTTTGGTCAGGGTAAGCATTACTTAGCAACAACTAAAACATCAGTGTGTTATCAGCATATTATCAGACTAAAGCCAAAACACAGCACTGCACCAGATAGTAGGAAAAAAATAAACTCTCTTCCAGCTGAAACAAGGACAAAACTGAATAAAAAGAGTCAAATGTGCAGTTCACTTGTTCTTTAATTTTCCTGTTAAGAGCAGAAACTGCAGTTTGAGGTCTTCCAAGACACAACTAGCCAAACTCCCCCAAACTCCTTCTGCAGTTAAAACCAGGAAAACTCAAATCTATGATATTCAGATGTATTAGTGCCAGTACAAGATACCTGTTATACATTACAGTATTTAAGAAGCAATTCAGTGATTGCTTTTCTTGTCATGTCACCTTAATAACTGAAAACAGTGTTCTCAGTTACACAGTAACTGTGAAAATAAATTGGATATGAAATCAGATATGGCAGATCTGAGAAAGAAACACCTAAATGATTAGACCAAAATGATTAGTTAACAACATTTTTTATCAGTCATCACAAAACCCTGTTGAAAAGGCTCCTGCATATCTGTTTGCATCTGAGAAGTGAATGTTCAAACTTAGGTTCATTCTAGTATGTCTGAGTAATCAAAGGCAAACACTTGGAGCTCTGTTCGTTTTCTCTAACCAAGCACCATTGTATACTAGCTACTCTCTTGGATACTCTTTATTTTCAGAGGTGATATTGTCCTCCAGTTAAACTGAATGCCACTGTTTCCAGGGTACTGGGTCCAAACCACTTTTTTTCAGTCCTGAAATGCAACAGAATTAATTTGTCTTAGAAACTTTCTACCTATTTTTTTCTCCTTTGCACTCAGTACTGCTGCTGGTATACAGAAAAGAGAGATGAGGAAAACTAAGATCAACTGTATCTTCAGCTTATCACATTTCTTGTTTCCTATTGCCCCTGCTACAACAGCTTTCCTCTGGCACCTGAAGGAAATAATTTGACTTCCCATAAATTATGCTTCACTGCCCAGAGACTCATTCCCTTACTCAAAAAGCCTTCAAGAAATGCCACTAACCAAAATAAATGAGTGCCTCTTCATATAGTTTCTCTCTCTGCATTGAATGAGCTCTTTTCAGGCATGTTTAGCCACGCACTATCTCCTTTCAGGGCTCACCTAGAAGGATTGTCTTTCTTGAGGACAAAGGAAACAAGGATTTATATGAGCAGGTGTCTTTTGCAGCATTCCTGATAGTAACACTCTTTTGGACAACATACACAATAGCACAGTGCAACCAGAATCGGTCTAGATGGAGACTGGAGTGGAACTGTTGGAGACTGTATTATTCAAACAGCCTATGAGGGGTGGAGGGACAGAGGAAAACAAGAAAGAAAGTACATTTTTGTTTAAAAAAAAAATATCTTGTGTGTTTGACAGTTTGTAAACTCCAGGCTTAAATCAAAAGCTCACTGTACCCTCCCATAGGATGTAACTATGCATTTTCTTGAGAGGTAACTTAAATATTTTACTGAACTAAGCAAATCTAACTGGGACTGAAGTGACAAAACCCCAAATTTTTACTCTCAGGTGCTGGCTGGGTGACAGAATAAATTCACAGATGTTACTGTGGATTCTGACATGGTGAACTTTAACATATGCTTTTCTGAATCTACTACCTCTATTAGACACATGCTTTTAGATAGAGGGGAGAAAATCTGCAATAGAGAAAAACAAGTTTAATGTAATAAAGGGTAGTAGTTTTCTCAAGAACTAAGTCATAGCCTTTTCATCATCAAGGTGGATGCTTTATGTGTGAAATGAGTAGGAGCTCATACTGGTGGTTCTGAGTATGCAGTTGTATATGACAGGTATGAACATGCGATGGTGTTGCCCACTAATAAAACCAGATAAGACTTCCCTGGTTTATTTTGCATAAACTTCACTTACTTCTCCAGCATACCAAAACCCAAGGAGTGTCTTTAGATGTGAGTTGCAGTGCCTACCGCTAACTTAGGTAATATGAGATCTTGACTGTTCTCTTTGCTCCCTGCTCAAGATACTTCTAAACTTCTCTTAACTCTTAAGTGCTGGGCTGATCTTGCTTTGCATCCAAGGCCTAAGCCTACTGCACTCTTCCAGTGTCCATGCATGCAGGTGTGCTCCCCTGCTCAGAGACTTCTCAGCTGACAGGGTGTCCTGCCATGAAATCTGCATATTAATGCCCGTTAGACTAATAGGGCAGTTTGCTGCCCTGTAAGCCTAGTGTTTCAGCTGCTTATCTTCCCTTCATTTAAACCGTCAATTCCCCAGTTACAGCAGAGGGGAATAAAACTGACCCAAACTGCAACAACCAACACGTTTCAATTACATGTTGAATTGAGAGGGCCATGCGCGCCATGCGTAGGAGACTTCCCCTGTGCAATGAGTGCATTTTGTAGCAGATAGCTCTGGACTGAAACTGTTTCTGCATGAGGCTGATCATAAGCCTGGGGGGCTAAATATCCCTGGGACTTTCTGGGTGATGGGATGGAGGCAGCAAATCTGCCCATCTATTTTCCTTCCAGTTTCTTTGACATTCATTTTTGGTCCACAGATGTGTACAAGCAGGATCTCTGCCTTAAAATAGAGAAGAGCGCTTGCTTTCACACCACGTTTCTGAGACAGTAAAATGCCACGAGGCATCAAGCCCCTCATCCTCTTTTCCACCCTTAAGGTACTGTCCCCTTTGTTTACCTGCTCCTCTGCCCTACCAGTTTCTTGTACACCACTGCATGGACAGGTCCCATGCAGACCCCCTTACAGCCCCCTACAACCTCTGTTCACTTACCCATCCAGTCCCTGTAAAGCCCGCATAGCAGCTCCAGGCTCCCCTCCAGCTAGCCTGCAACCTCTAGAGAGCTCCTGAGCATGCTCACTTCAGCCCCACAGGGTGCCACATGCAACCACCTCGGGCAAACCAGTGCCTCCATTGAGGTGCTGGAGCAGGTCCAGAGAAGGACAACAAAGCTGGTGAAGGGTCTGGAGGATAAGTCTTACATGGAACAGCAGAGGGAACTGGGGTTGTTTAGCCTGGAGAAAAGGAGGCTCAGTGGGAACCTTATCCCTCTCTACAGTTACCTGAAAGGAGGTTGCAGTGAGGTGGGGGTTGGTCTCTTCTCCCAGGTAACAAGTTATAGGACAAGAGGTAACAGCCTCAAGCTGCACCAGGGGAGGTTTAGAGTAGATATTAGGAAAAATTACTTCGGAGAGAGGTTAATCAGGCATTGGAACAGGCTGCCCAGGGAAGTGGTGGAATCACCATCCCTGGAAATGTTCAAAAATCATGTAGATGCCCTCAGTGGCATGGTTTAGTGGTGGACTTGGCAGTCCTGGGATAAAGGTTGGACTTGATGATTTTAAAGGTCTTTTCCAACCTGCTTGATTCTGTGATTCAGTCCCACACCCTCCAGCACCTACGCAGCTATCCCCCCCATGCACTTTCCGTCCCCTAGAAAGCCACTCCATCCAGCGCCCCTCCACAGCCTTCACAGTCTGTAGCCTGTATAGAGCCACCCCCAGTCCCGCGCAGCCAGGCAAGCCGACGGGGCACGCCGGCGGCGGCACCTCCCTGCTCTCCTCATGTGGCGAGGTAAGTGCGGCTCGGCGGGGAGCCCGGCTCGTCGACCCTCTGCCGCAGCAAGGGTTAACAGCGGGGCCCGCGGGCACATGACAACCGCGGGGCACGGGTCGGCCCGGCGCGGAGCCGCACGCTGCAGCCGGCGAGGGACTCGAGTGCCGCGGGGCGTGCGCGGCGGATCCCCGCCCTGTTGAGGCTGCCCGTGGGGCAGGGGACAGCTCGGCCCCTTCGCTCCTGTCAGCTGCCCCGTGCCCCCCGTCGCCAGCCCGGGCGGGGAGAGGGTGAGTCGGCGGCTCCCGGCCTCTGTGCCAGAGCGGGGAGAGGGGGAGGAGAAAAAAGCAAAACAAACCCTCTTGTGGTGAAGTTACTTGGCAGTTACCTCGCTGACAAGCCAGCCGCGGAGATGAGGACGCAGTGTTGTCTGGGAGGACGGGACAGACACCCGCCCGGGAGATTTGTCATCCCGCCGTGAATAAGCGGAGTTAGGTAGTGGCGAGAGGAGGCTGCGGAGCGGAGAGCGGCGGGGCTGCGCGGAGCAGAGCGGAGCGGCGCGGAGGGCTCGGCGGGCAGCGTGAGCAGGGCGGGCAGCGCGGGGGGAGCCAGAGGGGAGCCCGAGGTCGGCCGGGGGCGCCGGCCAGAGCGATGCGCGGCCCGCGGGGCTGCCCCGCTGAGCCTCATGGCCCCGGAGCAGAGCAGTGTCTTGCCTGTGGCTTGTGGTCATCCAGACAGTGTTCCCGCAGGCGAAAAAACAGACATGTGCCCAGTGAGATGACAGCTCTGCCTCATTTGTGAGCCTATGTGCTGCCAGTTAACTGCGGCCTCAATAGACTTGAAATTCATGACTTTTAGCTGTGTCCTTCTCTCCCAAGACTTCAGTTAGCTTCTGGCCATGGTTGAAGATGCTGATGCTTTAGCTGCAAGGTCTGTGGGATGAGCTGTATGTGTAGTAAGCGTGACGGTGGGTACCTTCCAGGCCATTCACTGGGCAGCAGCTGGCGGTTAACTCGAGTTGCTCCACAAGTGGTAGTCACAGTAAAGGCACCAGCGCATTGTGCCGATGGCCCTGTGCCTCTGTCACTGCGTTGTCACCAGCTCGCGCGGGGACACTGTTGGTGGTTTCCTGTGTCCTGTTTGCACTGAAGCTTTCACTGTTGCTGACGCTGCAACATTAGCAATTGTGGCTACACTCCTGGAAAGTCCAAAGTCATTATAGGCAAAAGCTAGCAGGAAACCAGTATGAGTAAAAAGGTGCACGACTCTGGATTTGCAGGAGCCTTTGATTACTAGGTAATATACCATGGCTATTGACAGCACAGCATGCTAGAAAGCATGCCTCTGATTCTGGCACTCAGTGCTGCCAGATTTGTATTGTTTTTTTCAAGCAGCTGGTCTGAAGTTGTCGCTGGCCCTAATGACGATAATGTTGCTTCTGAAAAGCTCACGCTGTTCTGTTACAGAAACCACTTGCAGTAGCACAGCTCCGACGCTTAGAGTACTACCAGAAAAAAAAGCTTAGGAGATACTGATTACCATAATAAAAACCTGCAAAGACTTTTCTGGCAGAATGGTAAAAATGCTTAATCCAAACTACATCATCCTGCCCACTGATAACAGCTGCCCTTCTGGTGTCAGTTGCAGCAGTATTGGTGATTGTGCTCTACTCTGTTTGTACAGTCCCTTGCACAAATGCATTCCTTTCTCTGACTAATCTTCCTAGGAATTGTAGTGATGCAAGTAATAAGTAATTAGTTTATTTCATTACACTGGCTCTGACAAAGTTGTATTTGGGGGTTGGTTGTCTCACAGTGCTATAGGTGTCCTCCATTAGCTTTATTTGTCTTGCTCATTAATATTGCATCAAGGATGTATTCTTCTGATGTTTGAGAGCTAGAAACTTTCAGATTGTGTGTCCCTATTCTAGTTTTCCTTGTCTGACCACCTGGGCCTAAGAAAAATGTGGTATTATCAGAGTACTATAGTTTGGTATGAAGTCCCCCATGGTAGTCCAATAATACAATTGTCAAGAAATGGATACAAATGACCAAACCAGTGGATGCTAGTGAGAGGTATTTATTATTCTCAGTGGTGCATGACTGCTGAGATGCTGTCTGGCATGGAGGGTGGGAAAAGATTCTCTATAAATTGGGTGGAAAGCTTATTTGGTAGTTTCAGTTTTGAAACTACATTGTCTTCCTTTATTGCAGCTGTGATTCTTAATGTACTTATTCTTCCAAGCCTAATCTCAAGCTCTCAGCTATTGGTTTGGTTGTTTGTTTTTTTTTTTTTTTTCTTTCTTTCCCTAGTTAAACCTCTCTGGTTTCCTTTCCAGGAGAGTTTATTGTCATGCTTTAGTCTGTGAGCTATAGACAGATAACTGTACGAAAGCTGTAATACCAGCACTTCCTATATGTGTGTGAGCTTTTTAGAAAATGAATACTCAAGTTGGTGTTTTACACCTGTGTTAGGTGTGTCCTTGTCACAAGCAGTTGTGAGACACAAAAAACCTCAGGAGCCTCCAATGCCCCACTTCTATGGACACTGTGTGGTCAGTGAGGTTGAGATAAAGCATCTCTATAGCTTTTGGTGGCTGTCCTTTTCCCCTGTCCACCCCAGTCCTTGAGTCCACCCAGACTGACTCATCAGGACTTTATGTCAAGGGAGAGAGTGACTTCTGAATATTGCGGTGTGGTGCCACTGACAGGTGATGCTCCAAATACAATGGCGATGCAAGGAGGTAAGGGCTGGCAGGGGAGAGCAGAGCTTAAAGGGGAGGTTGTCCCTTTTGGTGGACTTCGAGTTGCAGAGAGAACGTGGAGAAATGCTTGTCTGTTTGTGGTTGTGGTGGGAATGAGGGAAGGCAGTCATAGTCTTGGATTGCACAGTCCCAAGGGAGGGATTTTCAGTTCTTGCTTGCTTCTGTGGCTTATGGTAGCTGTTGGAGAGGTAAGGTGGAGGTGTCTCCAATAAAGAGTAGAAACAAGGACTGTTTGGTGCATTGTCTTTCAGTCTTGTTTGGTCTGAGATAGTCCTTGCTACCCTATGTGCAGTGTGCCAGTGTCTGATAACTACTTCTGTGAAAGTGTCTCTAGGCTGGTTTTATTACAGTTCCTTAAACTGATCTCTGTGGTGGAGTAATTCTTTTATTGAAGTTGAAATGTATCTACAGTGGGTGAAGCAGTAACCCAACTCTGATTACTTTTCAAAACTGCACTGTGAAAGCAGGCTATATGGCATACTGTGCTGCAGGCACAGAATTGTGAATTCTTCTTTTGCTTTCTGAAGGATTAGTGTTTGGGTTTTCCAGGGCTTCAGCTTAAATTTAAATTTTACTACATGGCTTTCTGAAAGTGAATTTATGAATCATTGTTATGGATTTTGAGTAATTATGTTGTCATGTTGTTATTGATAGATGCAGAGTCAGAGGTTTGAGTAATGTCAGCTTAAAAAAATAGTCTCAAGAAGCAATGGACATAATTGTATGTCCCCTATCTGTGGGAGCATGAAAAGGTCACTACAGTAACTCACTGATGGACAGAAATATTTCATTAAAAGGGGGCAAGTGCTTGTGTTCCTTTGGTAGAACAAAGTAAATTTTCAGCACAGTTATTCAGGTGCTCAGGATAGTATTCTTTTCTGTGTGGTGTTTGTGTGTGTGTGTTTTAACTTAGCACATTAAGAAGCTCTAAACTTATTCAGAAGCTCTAAACTTATTTCCGAATAGGATGTTGTCTTTGGTGCTGTATTCCTACAATTTCCAGGGTAAATTTGCTTAGAAATTTATCACGTCTTCTTACTATTACAGGTAGCTGGGAGCTGATACAGAAATCAGACTTTTAGAATACATTCCCTGTCCAATTGGCATTACATAGACTTTAATGCACTTCTAGGTAATCTGTTGTTTTGGTTTGAATGAGTTTAGCCACTCTGACTTTGATATGAGAGAGTCCTGACATCATGATGGAAGTTGATGCTAAAGAATTCTGATTAATGAAAAACTACTTTCAAACATGTAAATAATATTGAGAATACCACCAAATAGTAATTTCTAAAAATGGGAAAAGTTTCACTCTCCAAGGTGCTTTAGTATTCTAAAGAAAGAGCTAGCTGATCTGCATGTTAATGTGATGTTACGTATTTTCACAATAAAATCAGGAAGGACACTAGAGGAAGAAAACGTAGAGAAATTACTTAACTTGCTTCTGCTTTCATAAAAAAGTTGTTTTGTTTGTATTTTCAGGTTTTTCGATTCAAAATACAGATTACTTGCAAGAGGAAATTAATTGCGGGCCCAGAGACCTTTCTTCAAGTATAAAACCCCCACGAGTAGCTAATATAAAACTGAGATAATGATGGTGTAAAACACTGCTACTCATTTATGATACAATGTTACTGAAGAAGAATAGCAAAGAAGACCAAACTACTAACAACACAGGTTGTGTATTGACCTGGATTTTATAAGGCTAGTAGGTCTGTGTAAACCATGTAGAAATGTTGTTCTGCTGATCATAAGTTAAAGATGCTGTTGTTGAGTAAAGCTAATGCATTTGTCATACTCAATCTTTTATTGTTTATATTAGAATCTTTCTAATGTAGTCAAAATTGAAGACAAGAATTACAGCAAGAATGATTTTTATTTGTAGCCAATTTATAGCGACATGGTATATAGCCTTGCCGACAGAAAACCTCCTTTCTTGTTGTATGTCCTTTTCTAAGGATCTAGTTGCCTGTGTTAGGGTAAGGTATATCCTGCTTTTGTAACAAACCCTGACAGTTTAAGAACATTCAGTTCTCCCTGACCTTCACTGAATTGCAGAGAGTGATTTGTGCTTCAGTGTAAATCTTCCTAAATGCTTCAGGCAGGCATGGAAATAAATAATGCTGCTTTTAACTGATGTGCTTTACAATTTTTATTTCCATGATGTAAAAATATAACCATGAAAAATAGTATGTAAAATAAATCTTCTATGACCATTTAAATGTGGTTAGGACACGTATCTTGTTACTGTCAGTAGGGATTTTGCTCTTACCTTTGAAGACAATATGCTTAGGCCTTTCATTATTAGTGAGTTTTAACTGCAGAGTGTGTGAGAATATCTATATACAGATGTCTATAGAGACATTTAGGTGTCTTTTGCTCCTATCTGGAAGTGTGCTATGAAAGCAGTTCTGCAAAATAGGGATGTTTTGGTTGGTTTTTTTTTTTTTTCATAGTTCAGAGGATGAAGAAAATTGAGACACTGTAGCATCATAGTAAGTGAAGGGTCAGGTATGAAGGGTTTACATGTAATTCAATCACGAATACAGTGGTTATATATAAACTTCCTGGCTTCAGTGTTGAAAATCTCACATGCTCACAGTAAAAGTTGCAGTTCAGTGTTTTGATGCAGCAAGATCATAATACTGAGTGAAAACCACAATTGAAGCCATACTTCAGTTTTATTTCGGTCAGCTTAATTTCTTTGCTGAACACGTTAATTAGTCACTGA